TCATAGCGATTATCGTTCAATGATGGTTAAATTATTATGAAATTTGACCCGGGGTTGGACTCTGAAAATAATTTGGAGAAAATTTTGAAATTGGAGGCTCTATCAAGCGTTTTAGTCGTTCACGGTTTGTGGCATATATCAAGCCATTTCAATTATAATTAAGCCACTAAGCCAGTAAATAACGTAGTCTGTTCATGGGTATTATTTCAATGTAGAAACTATAATGATTTGCAAAAATGTATCAGCCTGAACGATAGAAACATTAGTAACTTTTTGACAAGCTCAACAAAATTCGTAGCAACCCCGCGCTATGGCGGTTATACCTTAAATCGCTTTACGGACTTGATACATGAATCAGTTGTTTTCAAAAGGGAACAGGTCCTTTCCTTGATGAGTCTTAGTTGCATGTCTTTTTATACAAACCAGGGCTCGTGCAAAAACCGACTTGTTCCTTTTTGAAAACAACTGATTTACATGTATCAGTGGAGGATCGAGACCCCGCCTGATAGGCGGCGTGCTGCCAATATACCAAAGACACAATACACGCCTAATAAGGTTATTCATTGTCATTCTTGATATATATACGAACACAAAATATCAATATTGGCATGCGAATGCGTCTGCCTACCGACAAAAAAATTCCTCTTAAGGTTCGAATACATATTGCATGAAATACTCTCGCCCAAAATTTTTGGATTTCTAGATTGTTGCCTTTTGTGTTGAGATCTGACAACACGAGGCTCCTCCAAAGGCTTCGTTCGAGATTTATGGCTGCATAATTTATTCATATCATCACTCTTTCCCATCCATGCTTCGCTTCACACCTCTCTTTTGGCTCCTTTATGCACTTTTCCTCTCACTTTGGCGAGACTCTTAAGTGGTTCCTTTCAATTTTTCCTCCCGCCCGAGATTTTTTCCACCCCCGATTTAAGATGGGCGGTAATTTTCTTGCTCCTCTTTGTCAACCGGTTTCCATGCGCCCACCCCCCTCCCCCACACTGGGCCGAATAAAACACTTCAATGCCTCTTCTTAGACAAAAGCGGGTCTATAGCGATATTTTTTCACGTACCACGAGATTAACTGCCTCTTTACAGGCTTAAAGCTCCATGTTCGAGTCACTGAGCTCACTCTCCGTTTTCCACGCGGATATATTGAGTAGGTGATAGGGGTAGTTACTGGTCCCTGGCCACATTTAAATCCCTATTATAGGAGATATATTGTCCATTACGAGATGTCTAGTATAGTCTCGCGAGAGAGCAGTGGAAGATTTTTACGAAAAAAAGAACAACCTCGGCTAAAGTGCCCAAAATAAAATTGTTCAAAATATCTTACGGACGTCGCGCAGTAGCGTGGCGTGAATGATCGATTAACGATATTTCCCCCATTTAAAGCTACGGTAAAGAATCGATTATTACAGTGTTCGTTGCGAACACCCTGTTAATCGATCCTTTTCCATATGTTTAAATGGTAGATCAATCAATATATCGCAAAGCACGCCACGCCACTGATGTCGCGTGTCGTGCCATGCAGTAAAAACCCCTGTTTTACGACAGAGAATGCCAACCTAATGAATTTTCCGAAAAGATCTGAATTAAAAGTATTGAAAATTTCGACGCGATATTTTCGTTCGTTCTATTTTCTTTTAGTGTAACAAAAAAAATTAAATATTATCCGAGTTTCTGAATCGCTACAATGAGGATACATATTTTCCCTTTAATTATGGTAAAAACTGGAGCAGAAAATCAAGAATGATGACAGGCAGTCCTACAGCAGTCCTACAGTTTTGTAGACGGTAATATGCGTTTCACGTCAACTGACCGACTGCACTGCGTTTGGTGCAATGCGAGAAGTATTCATGCAGTCTTGTTGGCGCTCATATGGGCTCGACGCCATGCCACCCGCACTGTTTGGCGCAATGCTTGAAGTATTCCTCAAGTCTTGCAGGCGCTAATATACGCTCAACGCCCGCACTGTGTATGGCGCGGTTATTCGAACTAGCGCTCGAATAATCAATCGCGGCATCGAATATTCGAGCTTAAAGGTCCTATGTTGTGTTTCGACGCCGTATGATCATTCCAACGTTGCCTTGTTTATCCCGATTAAATATTTTTTCCGAGAAAAGTTAGGGAAGTTCTTTATACCCACGACCATTATTAATCTTTTCACTTCATTTATCATCAGAAGGTAAGGAATCGATGACTTGTCAAAACACTAAGCTAAACCAGCATTAACATACAAATGCGTTTATTTTCCAACTGTTTGTTGTTTTGCCAAAATTCTACCTTAAATTAGCTTCATTTTAAATTCGCGCATTTTTGTAGCAAATGTTAAGATTTCTATTCGCGCATACCTCATATATTTTCTTAGATTAGACCTTTCGTCCAATCACGGATCACAGGCCTGGTTACAACTGTTATTCCGATTACATTAAAGGGAAAACAAGTGAAAATACTCCCTGTGAGGAAATAATTAAAAGATACAGCATGTTTCTCTGACCGGAATTGAGCTGGGCAGTCTGGGAATATTTTATTAGCGCTTTCAGCATAAACGCCTACAGCTGAACTTGACCCGATTTTGAACGAAGAGAAGCTCGAGAGTGACACGCGGGTGAAGGAACCCAAAGCCGAGCCGAGTAATAAATTGACCGTATTTCTGCCAAACGGAACTATGTGCATTATGACGTGAGCCCTGTTATGCGTATATTCTTACGGGTCTCGGGGCTCATGTTTTAATGCACATAGTTCCGTTGGGCAGAAATACGTTCAATTGGCGGACTAAGAGAGTAGCCACTCGCCGGCCGGTAATGGCATTAGAGCGATTTGACTACTGTCGATTAAACCATTAATCGAGTTAGGCGATTGTCTTGATTGGCCGAGAGTTGGTCGCGCTCAAGTTGGAAAATCATAATTCAGTTAGCTGACGGAGGCGGCACTCTGTGGCCCCGAACTTGCGTCGCGGCTCCGGCCCTCCCCGNCCCCCCCCCCCCCCCGGCCGTCGTAAAAACACCGGGCTAATCGAATCACGCACCCGTAAAGTCGGCCCAACTTCGTCCGCGGAAAGTGATCTATACCGCGGTCCCTGCTTTTGATCGCGGGACGCCGAAGGCAAATCCCATAGAATACATCTACCGTGCTAAGGAAAAACGCCGTACAGGCCTTTAGGCGTTGCCAAATTTCCTTTGATAAGTCACAAATTTGCGGGAATATTTGTAAAAAAAAATGTATTCCGATTTTCCAGAGAATTTTGTCCGTAATTTGATCAAATTAGTGTAGAAATTTCAAGGCAAAATATTGAGAATACCCCTTAAAATAAAAATTCAATCGGAGGAAATTTGGCAACTCTCAAATGTTCATACGGCTTTTTTCCTTAGCACGGCAGCCATGGAGTCGTAATAAGAATGGAGGAGCTGACGCTACTTTTAAGCATTTTCCAGTCACCGAATTCTATCACTACTGAGCGGTGCCAAGTCATCATTTCGATCATTTCCATGCATAATCGATTGCTTTCGATTTACGGGTGCCTGGCCGATGCGGTGTCCGACTGAAAAATTACGAAAGCTAGTCATTTCCCTAAACGTTGAAGACCGCATTCACAAGAATTGATGATACAATAAGCTCATGACAATACTTTCCCTGGTAAAAATTGGCAGTAGAAGCTGTGTTCCAAAATACCATAGACCTACAGCCGGCTGTAAGATTTCCAATAGCTTCTATAGCCGGCAACACAATTTCTTACAGCCTTTTATAGCCGATGGCGATTAAGCAACAGCCTGGCAATAAAGTGTATGCTAAACGTTACTAATTACGGATGCTAGGACTTAGTGAGTTTTTGGACTACCGCTCTCTTTTTGGGCCGTAGTATCTTGATTTATTTTGCGAGGAAAGCTCCGTACTTTTGAAGGATGCCTGCCATTCCTAATAATGCTGAAACGCCTTCAATTTCGTATGATACTGTGCAATACCTCTGGTGTGAAATAGTTGCTTCAAGCCCCGTAGCCAGCGCGAAACGCGCATTGGCGCCTACAAACCTAACAGGGATACTTCACGCATTGCGCAATGCGTGAAGTATCCCTGTTAGGTTAGTAGGCGCCAGTGCGCCGCCGCTCCGCTTTGTGTTAGGCTCTAATATTTGATCTCGTCGAGTCAGCGTTTTCAACTCATGACTTTGAAATGTTTGCACACTCTGTATGGTTTATTCTCATTTTAATTGATGAAAATAATATGTAGTAAAGGAAAATATACTGTGCGTTTTGTAAATATATTAAGGTGATTCCGTACAAACTTAAGGATTTACAAAGCACACGAATTTCTACACAATTTCTTATAGCCTTTTATAGCCGATGGCGAAAAAGCAACAGCCAGGCGATAAAGTGTAAAGCCCGGCGATAGGAACTACAGCCCGGCTGTATAATTTTTTATCGCTTCGTGTGGGCTACACGAAGCGTAGCTACAGGTCGTATGATTTTTTCCACTTTCTACAGCCAGCTATATGATTTTCTATCGCCTTCTTCAGTCGGCTATAAGAACTCCTATGGTATTTTGGAACGCAGCAACTATCGCCAATTTTTACCAGGGTTGTCATTAGACGACCCCCCTCCCTCCCCTTTCCTACCTATTTGACGCGGATTCTAGTGTAATTTCATTTAATTATTCACTATAGCGGTCATGTTCGTTTGTTGAGGAACGTTCCGACATTTGAAAAATCGAAACGATATCGAGATGACGTCACGCTAAATGCGTGTATGTGGAACTCTCATCGACTGTGACCATCTGGAGTATCCCCAGAGCATGACACACTTGATCGCCCGTTGCGATCCTGACCGACAGCGCAACCGAGCGAAGCGCCAAGTTCACCGGAGGCAAAGGACATCAACACGGCCGACCCTCGGCCCCGCCATGCCGCGTCGCGTCGCGAAAACAAAAGAACCAGGAGGCGGTTTTGAAAAAAACGCCCTCCGTTTAAGCGGGCTCCGGATGTTCATAAGACGACGGGATAAATCGTCGTCGGGATCGCGGCTGAGCTTGATTGACGGGTAATGTTGGCCTGGTGTCGGCGCTTGGCGGTGGTGGGTCCTCCGGGCCAGTGGTCGGCCGAGTCAGTCATCAAGTTTAATGTCAACGGAAAAGAGTGATAGTGACGGTGCCGCCAACCAGGATCCCGAGTCGTCCGACAGTGCGAGCGCGCTCCAAGTCCCTCAGCCGAGAGAGAGTCCCAGTCGCAGTTCCTCCATGTCTAGGTTAAGTCAGCCCGACGCGGGACAGTGGGCCGATCAGGTACGCAATACCCATTACCCATCCTTCCCTCCTCTTTTCTACTACAAATAATAAGTCGCTCCAATAGCGCTCCTGTGCGCTCTGCGACACCCAACCGCCACTGAGAGCGATCTCTTCTTTATGCACGCATCAAAATAAGGCGGATTTTCGCGAGTGGCTTTGCTTGAATTTTTCGACCAAATCTTAATGAAGATATTTTTTTTTGTCATCCCAATCCACTAGTCCGTTGAGCTCATCAGCAGAGATGGAAAATTTTATGAAATTTATTTGCGTGATATTTTGTGCGTAAAATTCAATGGAATTTGATGAAATCCGTGAAATTTTACATTTTCTTAAATTTTTAGGGATGCGTTCAGGAAGCCAAGAAACAGTGTCTGAACGAAATTCAAAATTTCTCGATTCACCTTAAAAGGTGGGTCGAAAAATGGATAGTTGTGGACGGGTGTCAATTTTTCCAAAATGGCGGTGTTCTGTGCTACAAAAACAACAACTGAGCAACAAAGACCGCGTTAAGGCGACGGAAATGAAGTAACATGTAAAAAGTGCACATTTTTGTATATTTGTATAATACTTTATATTGTGGATGAAATCGTGTTGCATTGGTCTAATGGCGCGCTTTTTTTTACCTAATCCGGGATTTGGTTCCTTTTCTTCAGGGTTTGGTTGAAAATTAGATACTCGATTCGGATTGGTCCAAATTCCAAAGGTGAGACTACGATCATTTATCCAAAAAATTAATGGAATTCAGTCGCAAAAATTCGCCAAAAAGCGTTCGCTTCACATTGAACAATGAACACCAAAGTTTTTCCGTGCACTGTGAAAGGAAAACAGCCCGAGAGTTCGGTTAATGTGGGAACTCGGTTGATTCTAGAATTTTTCGGTTTTCTCATTTTTTTCTGTACAAGAACTGGGAAGAGAAAAGTTTGGACAGAAATGTTATCAGAAACTAGCGGCATTAAACAGACATTTTAAGGCCTCGATAGACGCGATTAAATTCCGATTAAAGTAGACCATTTGATGACTAGCCATCAAATGGGTACGTGTATAGAGGGTTCCTCAAGTGGATTGCATTTTGCAAAAAGGAACCAAGAGCATTGCAATGTTGCAAAGATTGTACAACTTCTTTTTTCTTGGGAGAAAAATCTGATTATCCATTTATAGTATCTATCACACTCGTTAAAAACCGTAAATACAAGACAAAAATTACCATGTTGATTTCATATTATTTCATGATTTCAGTAATTTTATTGCAAAGGATGAAAATGCACAATCTTAGCAACATTGCAATGCTTCTGGTTCCTTTTTGCAGAATGCAATCCAAGTATTCTAAGCGACTGAAGGTATGACATTTATTTTGGCAGAAAAGCGGATCAACAGAATTGCGGGGGACCTCGGCCCGGAGCGAGAACGAAAATGACGACTCGGACTCGGAGCTGTCGGACTCGGAGAATTTTTTGGCCAAAGGCGCCTTCCTCCTGACGCCGAGCAACGACCTGACCATGGAGAAGGCCAGCTCCATCTGCGAAAAAATGAACTTCAAAGGCCCCTACTCCCTAACCAAAACAGCTACAGGTATTCTATTCAAATTCGCCGAACCAGAAGACTACCAAGTTACCTTCAAAAAAGGCTTCCACAAAGTCACCGGAGCCCGATTCTACAAAAAGGTGAGTTCGTTGCATGAGCGAGTGTCAATAACGCCTTTGTCACATCCTCGTCGCCCACTACCCTCCCCCCCGCTCCGCCTTCACCCCACACGGCGCCCTCTTACACCCCACAAACCGCGGCGCCTCTCTCTCATTTTTTCCGCCATCGTTCCCATTGTTTGCCTCTGTTTGCACTGGTGAACATTCGCGTCACCACTTTTATAAAAACTCGGGGAAAAATGAGAGGAAGGAATTATGATTTTGAAACATTCACGAAGGTTGCAGTTCATGAAAACGTTTGCTGCGGACCGTCGGGAGAAAACGTTTATAGACCTTTAAAAATGTCTCTGTATCGAGGGCGAGGGAGAGGGGGAGGGGCATGAGACCGCACTCGACCCCTGCCTTGTTTACTTTTCCGAGGCTTTGAATATGAATGAAATTCACTGCAGATCATAGGAAATAAATCACATGGACTCAAATGCAGTATTTCAACTTGATAAATTTAAATTTTCACCGCCAGGTTAGTGTCTTCCTTGCCGATCTCGCTAACTGTTGATGTGAGTTGTCATGGATCAGAGGTTTAACCATATTCGTGGGAAAAGGATCTGTCAACGTAACGATACATTTTCATTCTGTCTTACAAAGAAATTGGAGGCATAGAAACTTTTATGGGGTACAACCACGCGACAATATAGTAAAAAAAAAAAAAAAAAAAAAATTCGCGTACTCACTTGCACTATTTAACAATTAGTTTGTTTGTTACAAATAATATATTCTTATAATAACAATTAATTGTTTGGTGGTGCAAGTGAGTACGCGAAATTTTATCTCTTTTTTACAAATCTGAGGCAACAATATATATTAAAATTCAACCTTCGGCCACGATTTTTCATTGGGTTACGATTAGGTTAGGTAAAATTGTTCCAACTTGATAACATCTTCTGCATTTTATAGAAATCAAATTTTGTTTTCAATCCTTCACCCAAAAATTACGATGTTTGGAACCAAGCCACGTCAGCCATTGCCAAATTTAACTGGGCAATTCAATTTTTTACACGAAAACGGTTGTGTGGATTTTTGCGCAAATTTCAGGAAATTTTCTGCACAGTACGAAGCAAATTCTCCGAAACTTTCAAAGGAATCCGCGCAAACGTTCTCCAGTAAAAAATCTAAATGCCCACTTAAATTTGGCAACAGCTAATGTGGCTTGGTTCCTTTCTGCTGAAATTTCGGTCCGTTTGAATGTTGAAAAAATGGGAAGTGGATGATCAGCATGGAAAAAAGCATGGGTTTGGATTATTTTTAAGCGCATTTGGCACACGGCGCCGGGTGAAGTAAGAGCACGCGGGACGGGGGGGGCTGAGGGATTNGGGGGGGTTGAGCTGTCGAGAGCTCAAGGGACTCGGGTAGCGTTGACTCCGTCTCGAGCGCGGAGGGATTAATAAATGGAACTGCTCATTTCAGATACCGATACCGTGCCGACCTCAGAAAACATTCGTGGTATTCGTGTTGGAGGTACCGGAGGAAATTCCCGAGGAAGATATCCGCCATTCCTTGTACAAGTTCCACAGCGTTGTCGAAGTCAGCCGTCTCTCGCCGACCCAGGGCGGCTCCTCCGCTTCCACCTCCAATATTCCCGCTCCAGGTACGCTCCGCCATACGTTTTCCAGCTTAAGCGCACCACTCAGGAACCCTCGCATAGTGCTCCCATTTTCCGGAACTAGAGCCGAATTATGGAACTTTCGAGTTTTCCGGAATTTTTCCCGGAACTTTTGAAATTCCATAAATGTTCCGGATCTTTTGCATTTTCCGGAACTTTCGAAAAAATCTCCGAAATCCAATATTCCCACTCCAGGTACGTACACTCCCCCATACGTTTTCCAGCTTAAGCGCACCACTCAGAAACCCTCGTAGTGATCCCATTTCCCGGATCTAGAACCGAATTTTGGAACTTTCTATATTTTCCGGAATTTTTCCCGGAGCTATTAAAATTCCATAAATGTTCCACATCTTTTGAATTCTCCGGAACTTTCGAAAAAATCTATAAAGAATTCCGGAACTTTTGATGGTCATGGAGTGGGAGCTCTGAACCCTCGTCCCACTGTAAATATTCTTGTCAATATATCAAGGTCACGCATTTTGTCGTCTCCCAAGCAAAGGAACGTAAGTAAATTCCAAGGTTGTTAAATGGGTCACTAAAACTCCTCCATACGTTTTTCAGCTTAAGCGCACCACTCACAAACCCTCGCATAGTGCTCCTATTTCCCGGAACTAGAACCGAATTTTGGAACTTTCAAGATTTTCCGGATTTTTTCCCGGAACTTTTAAGATTCCATAAATGTTCCGGATATTTTGCATTTTTCGGAACTTTCGAAAAAATCTAAAAAGGATTCCGGAACTTTCGGCAGTCACGGAGTGGGAGAAATTGGAGGAAAAAAATTCCGAATCCGGAACTTTTAACGGACACGGGATGAGAGCCCTGAAGGAACTCTTGTCGCACTATCAGTATTCGTGTCAATTTATTGAGGTCCCGCACTTTGTCGTCTCCCAGGCGATGGAACGTGAGTAGATTCCAAGGTTGTGGAATGGGCCACTAAATCATTGACGGATTTAGACTTGCAAATATATTTTTCTGAAGTTAATTGAGGCGTAAAACACGATGTCTACATTAGAAACGCGCAAAAGTAACTTAGAAACTGAGAAATATGCCGTTCAAAAAGCGCAACTTTTCCGCAAATAATGTTTTGCAGCATTGAAATATAGTTACGTTCTTGCATTAGGGAGACGACTTGATACAGAAACTGGAAATGACGTCATATTAGTCCGCTTCCGTGAATATTTAGTGACCTGCTAAATATTAATAGACAGGCTGTTACGTCATTCCTGGTTTATAGTAAGAGTTCTGCCGTGCCAAGGAAAAACTCCGTATGAACATTCGAATTTCCTCCAATAAAATGTTTATTTTTGAGGAGAGTTGTGAATATTTTCTTTTGAAATGTTCAGATGATTAAGATTTGTTCGCGAATAAAATTCTCTCAAAAGTACAAATAATTGTCCACAGAATTTCCTGACAATTCATGTTTTATGACAGGAAATGTGGCAACGTCTGAAGGCTCATGCGCTCATGCGACGTTCTTCCTTAGCACGGCAGAGTTACGCATCTGATACATTACTTTGTGGATTAGTTGTATCGTGCGTTTATAACAAGCTCCAGCATGCAACTATTCGCGCGTGGCTGTAGTCAGGGGAAGTATCATTCCATTTGAAGGCGTTTTGAGAATCCTTTTTTGTAGGAGTATCAGAGTACACGGAAAGTTCACCAGTCTGTTGGTTTTTGAGGTATGTGTGCGCAGACAATGCAGACCTCGATTTCAATGCGACCAGCTCTGTTCATCCTCGTGACCTTGCGATTCTAAAGCTCCTGAAAAAAGCGTGGAATAGGCTCATCTCAATGTTTTTGAGTCTCTCAAAACTTCAGATAAATCCCCGGCGCTGAGAATCGGGAGCAGAGCAGAATTTATACCAACAATTGTACTCCAGCGGCCGGCAGTGAATCAAAAACCGTTCAAATTAAATTGCGTTTAAAAACTATAGTGAAAGAGAGGGGAGACGGAATGAGTTATCAGAAGAGACGCAACAGAACTCATCGCTGTCGGAGCGACAGTTATTTCCTGAGACAGAACCCCTGCTCCTTTCCAGAGCTGCCGAGTTGCTGCCCCTATACTCGCTTCGCATAAATCAATTCAAGATTATTTGTCTTGGGGCTCGGTTGTAGTCAAACTAGGGTTCAATGTTGCATCGATTCACTTAAAATCTACGCTATTGTAAAAATATAAAAGGAAGGGGAAAAATAATGATAATCCAACATACGATAGCCCGAGAGAACAGAGAATGATATGAATCTTCTTTCCCTGTTCAAAATGGGCACTCAAATAGGATGGATAAGTATCGATAGAACCGATTACGTTCTGTAGGACTTGAAGTAATTTACTGACTCGAATTATGTCAAGCCGTTCTTAGTTTCCATTTTGAACGGGGCACTAAGCTTTTGCCCAGAACATTTGAAAAATTAAAAAAAAGTAATGACTGCCTGCGAAAAAAAAGTATCGAAATGAAGGAAGCAAACGCTTTTTAGTATTACATTCCATTCTATTTTTGTAGATACATGAGTGGCATTACGCAGTAAAGTAATACTTTTGATAATAATTAGGTTTAAAATTATCTCTCATGATAATCACTAGTGAGTGTGCTATGTGAAGAAGCAAACATTGGAGCTCCTGGAACATGGTGCGTTATCAAGTGTTATACTAGTATCATAAACTTGCATTTAAATTTTCAACTGTGAAAATAATTCTCTAAAAATTAGAACAACTACACCTGACTCACGTTCGTTAGACCCCTCAATTTCTATTTTCATCTCATTGACATTTTACAAAATTTTCATCGCGAATGATTTTGTGGACTCCATTTGCAAGAGCTATTGTTACCTATCCTCCAAAAATGAGCGTTCTTCCGCAAAAAAATAGTAAACTTATAGAGAAATTAAATCAAATACTTGCTTCACAAACAAAGTTACATATTTTTGCTGGCTTTTTTGGCCCAAAAGAGCCGACCTTACTCTCCCTGTATATGGATACTCTAAAATGGACTACATTTTTCGAAAAGAACTATTATTTCTGGCTCATTTTAGGAACAACATTTGTGACATAGGTTTCCTTAGGTGGATAGGTGCCTCTATGGATGAGACAGGAACTGTAGTTCCTTATTGCAGAATGATGTCCGATTCACCTCGAAATAAAATAATTTAGAGTCAAAATATGACAACCCTGCGCCACCAAACCGCTCATCTGCTCACCACTTCCCCTGCGCATTGCCAGGCCGGACACATCCACCCCTCGACCCCGTGTCGCCCCACCGCAAAAGCATCTATCTCCATTCGCGGACGGACTCCAATCAGCATGAAGTTACATGCGCGACGAAGCTTTTTCCGCGTTTCAGTTGCGCGCTTTTTCACGCGCCGCGGCGTTCCGCTCTCGACGAAACGTGGCAAGCGGAGGGGACGTTATACGAATCAGCAAATTATCCAGAGTAATTGAATGGCATTCAGCAAACTGGAAATGGATGTGAATAGTTAGGAAATGAATCCATTTCAATATCTCATTCCTTCTCGTTCACTTCCAGTTTTAAATGATTTCCAATCTGGAGCGGGACAGGGAGAAAAAGGTACCGCCGCAGTTCTCAATCTTACTTCGCTGAAAAAGGGATTCCGCCGCTGAGCGCATTGTTTGCCGCGCGGTTTGAGTTTATTATTTTTGAAGACGGGAGGAGAGATTCCTCACCGTCGCGCTGGAACTTCGCCGGCGTGAAACTTTTCGTCGGCTCGCCCGACGAAACAGCGGAACTGCACTCCGAGAAAAGCCGTGTCGTTCACGTAATTTTATGCTTTTTATGACTTGTGTGAAAATGGAGTTACGTTTTTTTTTTGTTTTGACCGGGTGAGGCATCAGCTCGCTTGGTCGAAGGGAGAAGTTGTTGTGACGACTTCAACTTATAATACACAGTTTTGGAGGAGCGGATAGGTCGCAAAAGGTGACGTCATTAATTTTCGACGGAACAGCAGGGTGTCTAAAATGGATCGTGATCGATAGTGGTTCGATCTATCGTTTGGTTCAAAATATTAGAACATAGCCTTGAACAAAAAATTTGAGATTTAAATTAGAAAAGCTTAAGTTAAAAAAGAGGGAATCCATAACAATTTCACTTATGTTCGCCATGTGGTGCTCATAAAAATCAAAAATCAATCACAAAAATCCGTTCCCACTCAATGCTCGATTGACTTTTGAGGCTACGTTTACATGTTGAACCAATCGATATCGATACAATTTTAGCGATGGACGCCTGTTGGATGCATCGAATTCGATCCATTATATATCACTTTACAAGAGAGCATTGCATAACTGCAGTTCTTTTTGGAGAGAGGCTGCTTTCTGCCGGCTTCTGCCGTTCAAATTTGTCAGTTGGTATTTTGTAAAATGCGGCTCCTATTTTAGGTCCGAACCAATTATTGCGAGACTTCAGATTGGTAGTGGTTTGTGCACTACATAGAGAGAAAGAAGGCGGGTACAACTATTCTCCGTCTCATCTTACAAGCCTGAAACCCTTGAGAGAGTTTTTTGGAATAAATGATTTTACTTTGAAATTATCATTGTAAACTAACTTGAAAGATACCTCAGTTTGATATATGTGCAAATATTTCTCTCTCGAGAGAGAAATGGACTTCAGCCCCAAATCAAAATCGGTAATTCATCAAAGAGGAGGACGTTTAGCTGGCATCTCTAAAATAACAATTTATTTATGGTATCTTTAAAGAAATTGTAACGTTGCATAGTGGATCGAGTCAATTAGAGAGGTCGTACATAAAATGTTTGACTAAAACTGCAAATGTTCATGTTTATCTTGTCACATTTCAAATTTTAAGGGATGCCTTCGGTAGAAAATTTTAAGAGAAAACCAATGAAACCACTTTTGAAACCCCAAAATTTGTATAAATGGAGTTATAAGCGTTTAGCGTTTCCAAATTTTGTCCGACCGTTCCCATTGACTTGATCCACTGTGCGCCGATGATCGAAACAAGGTTCGTTCTGGAGGGAGCGATAGGACTCGCCAATCAACATCCGTCGAACAATAGCGTTGATCTCCAAAAATGTTTGCCACTAATATTGCATAGACCGTCTCTAAAACTATCTCTGAAATGTATCGTCTGGGATGTAAAGGTGATCGTTGGCCGAGGATGCTAACAGCCACTCTATAATCCTCAAATCGTTGGTCCGATCTCTCGGTGGATCCGCGCAGGCTACGTCCCATTCTTCGCACCTGTGTTTAATTCACATTATTTTTCATTTCAGTTCGGAGCGCGGACAAGGGGTCGGCGGGCGGGGCGATGGGCGCCCCCTCGGGCCCCGACCCTAGCGCGGGATCCTCGGCGCCCCCTCCGATCGTGCGGGTCACGCTTGCCTCCCTGGACGAGTGCAACGTCCTCCTACAGAACGGCTTCGACTTCTTCGGCGCCACCTTCTTCCCCACCGAACCGGCCATCCCCACAAGTCTCGTCCGCACCGGCGCTAAAAAACTCACCGTCAACAACAGGTTTGTGCAAGTTCTCCCTCTCGCACTCAAAACAAAAATGAAAAATAAAGAAAAGTTATCGAAACGTCTCTCTTGACTAGAGTCAGTGGCGTGGCGTGCTTTGCGATATATCGATTGATCCGCCATTTAAACCTATAGAAAAGGATCGATAAACAGGGTGTTCGCAGCGAACACCTTAATAATCGATTCTTTACCACAGGTTTAAATGGCATAACAATCGATACATCGCAATTCACGCGAGAGTATGGACAGATCGCTACATGGAGGGCTTAGGGCCCAAAAATGCAGCCACCCTTCTAACCAACTTCTAACGCACAAAATCTAACTGCTAGTCTGCAGATTCCAATTCTAACCAAGATGGCTAAGAATGTACATAAATGAGCCTTTTTTCGCAAAAATGAGTAAATTTATGCAAAAACTAAGTCAAATTCATGCTTTATGAACGATGGTTCGTGACAATTTTACTAGTAAATCGCTCTGGATAATTGAAATGCATAGGTTGGCATATTCTGGGCCCTAACTTTATTCGCGGAGGCATCGGTGAAGGCCTGATGGATTTTCGGAGTTTCACACCTGTCTATACTCTAGCTATACAGCGGGGCGATTATTGAAATGATATCGACTCTATGTCGCCGCTTTGTCGTGTCGCGCCATCGACTAAGCATATGCTTAGTCGATGGCGCGACACGACAAAGCGGCGACATAGAGTCGATATCATTTCAATAATCGCCCCGCNAAGCGGCGACCTACAGTCGATATCATTTCAATAATCGCCCCGCTGGTACTCAACTCTTGACTACCTCATTGCGAGACGTCAATTCGGGCAAATCTCTGGCCCTGAATGAGAAGACCTACGAACTCGCTTCGACTGCGACCTCAACCCGACGCAGATCTGCTTTACATATACATGAAAGCCGCTTTCATAGCGCTCTTTGGCGCTCTGCGACATCCAGCCGCCAAAGTCCCCTATCCTCCCAAAGTCCTTCAAGGAGATGGCACTCGCTCATTTTCTCTAAAACCCCCTGACTCCACTCCTTCACTGAGCATCCTCTTCATCTCCTCCCGGGAGGAACCCTATCAAACATCTTCTTCGGTAGCCTTTCTCCCGTTATACGGTTAGCATGACCATTCCAGACAAGCTGTCTGGTCATGACGTCGAATACGATGTCATCTTCGACTCCCGTAATCTGACGCATTCTTTCATTGCAGACCCAATTTCTTCTAGAGATTCCAGTCGACCTTTTCTAGAGATCCATCTCTGTTGTTCTTGGCATACCCTGTGTCCGTTTCTTCAGCTGGAAATCTTCACATCCATACGTAAGAATACTTCTGACCACAACGTTGTAAATTCTCCTCTTCTTATCTTTGCAAAACTGCGGATTCCTAGAGACAGTCTCCCTCCCTATGGTGTCCCTTTCCTTGATAGTTTGATCCGTCCTCCCATCCTGGGTCAACCGCACCCCCAAGTGCTTAAAGTACCCGCAGTCTTTGATCTGCTGCATATTCTGCAACTCAATGCTCAAGATCTGTTTTTAATATCATTAAAACAAAAGAACTGTATCGAGGAAAATTTGGCAGCAGTCAAATTCTCAGTTGTACCGTAGCACGACACGCTGCAATCCGTCGCCTGAGCCGAAACTCACTAAGAGATCCATCAAAGCACCCAGAGAAAGAGAGAGGGAGGGAGGGATAGAGAGAGAGAATGAGAGAATGCGACCAACTGGCAACACTAATAAAGTCAGAGGGTGTAATGAGCCAGCTAGTAATGGATGTCTCCGACGAGAGCAGAGAGAAGGGTGAAGGGGAAGCAAGAGTCATTATCGCAAGGAGCTTTATCGAAACAGATGAAAAAATGAATGCGAAGTGCCTTGCGCCGACAATTTGGGGAGATGAGAGTGACAGTTCTCCCCTTTGTCGATAAATAAACCTCTTGACGCCTCCGAATATTCAGATACTCATCGGGTGAACTTTCCCCGAAAATTATAGCTTGCGCAGAAGTGCCTTATCGAGGTGATTGTTCTGGTATGATAAGGTAGCGGTAGTCCCTCTCCACCCTATGTGCTTGGATTATTCCGAAAGCTCAAGCGGTTGACGGGTTTAAAATTTGAAATGATTATATTTCGGAGGCAACAATACATCATTTGAATTGGGAAGCGACCACACTCTGAACAATGAGAATTTACAAGAAAAGGCAATTAAAATATTGTGACAGCTGAAAGCGTTAAGGTAAGAACAAATCCGTTTGAAGTCAAATGTACCCATTGCCTATCGTACGATTTACTAATTTACTGTTATTTGAAGTAGGAAGCTCACCTAGAAACGAAAAATAAACCGTTTATAGGAGTTGCGGAAGAGAGCCGTTTTCAAAGTCAACGAAAATTTCAGTGAGTGAACACATAGATTGAAAATTGGACGTATTTCTATCAAACGGAACTAAGCGCCATTATGAGTTCCTTTTGAGGAATTTAGAATTCCGGATAGCGGTTCTGTCAAACGGACCTAAGCGCCATGGAAAAGCATTGCGAGTATAGGACGGAATAAGCCGGACGCCCGATTCCGCCGCCAATCCAAGCCCCCCTCTACCTTCCTCACCCTATGGCGCTTAGGTCCGTTTGATAGAAATACGTCCAATTGAAGAATAATAAATTATTTTTCATAAAGTTGTCATTTCAATGAGGGCAAAGTAATATAATAACCACAGAACCAGGTGATTTTGCGCCATTTTTTTGAAATTTTCGGTAGATTTCAGAAAGAAATGAACTCCAGATTTTAGTTTGAGATTATTAACACTTTTACATTGTTTCATATGCAGCTTTCTAGAGCACACCCCATCTTTCCCACTCGATAGTTCCGCTTGGCAGAGATGCTTCCGAATAATTCTATCAGGGTAGGTTCCAGAAAGAAATGAACTTTTGCTAAATAAAAAAAAATGAATTTCACTCCGAGATTTTTAACAGTGCCGAGTTCCCTGACTTATTGTCATGGGAACGGAGTTCCCCATGATATTAGAATCGTTCCGTTGCTTTCGCTATGGAATTCCCTATACCTCTGCGACCTTGAGCGTTTCGCCCAGTCTCCGATTTTTGGTTGATTTTCCGATGTATCAAAAACCGTTGTATTTTTTAGCCAATCATGTCTCTACGTCAAGTTGTGTTGATTGCTAAAATTCGCTTTCAGCGAGTTTTTT